GTGGACATCCCCTGAGGGCTCCCGGGCTGCCAGAGAGATGTCTGACTGCCAGCTTAGGCCCAATTCCCTGGGGAGCAGGCCTAAGACAGCAGGCAGACATCCCCCGAGGGGTCCCAGACTGCTAGAGGGCATAGTCCAGGCTGAGGGACCCCACCGAGTGCACAAATTTTTGTGCACCCGGCCTCTAGTTTAAGTATAAAATTCTATTCTAATAAAAAGAAATACATACATTGAGCTGTATTTCCTATAAGCAGAGGCTGGCTGAGGTTTATTGAAGACTGTTATGGAAGCATCGGGGCCAGAAGTTGACATGAAAAGAATATTGTCCAGCATTGCCAGGGACAGGGCTGGTGAATGATATGCTTGATTGTTGAACAGACCAGTAAATGTTATTTTATCTTTCTTCACCTCAATGGAAAATGCAACAATGCATAAGTGAATACAATCTTCATTTTCCATCAAATATTTTAGTAGGTCACCTAGTATGAGGACACAATATTGGTCAGTTTGTCCAAAACACAATATATGTTCAGGAAGAAGAACAACTAATTTTACTTGGTTATTATCCGTTTCAGTTTCTGATAATAATTATTTCAAACATTTTCTATTCTCCTTAAGCACTTCATTGCCCATAATCTAAATTCCTATTTCACTGAGAAAACACAGGTGACCTGGTATAGACTCTTTACACTTGCTTACCTATCTTAAATTTATCTATGATTACTTTGAGTTATAGATTTTATTGCTTATCTTATAGCAGACAAAAACTTCCCGTGAGAAAATGGATAAAAGAAATGAGAAATCACCTATTTTAAGGTATCATATATCTAGGAAAGCAATAAACATTTGGGGTCCAAGATCTTGGAAAGAATGCAATGCATTCATTCTATGTGCCTTTTTCTTTTGAGGCATTTTAGATCTGTTAATGGTAGTGGTGTCTTGTGGTAAATCCTTTAGTCCTCAATAGAGCTCATGAAGAGTTATATCTTAGGAGTAAGACTGAGTAAGAAATAGACCAGTCCTCATAACAATTTCAATCCAGTATCAAATCACTTAAATCCCTGATTGGATTTACACCTGTCTTTAATTTTATTGGCCATCAGAAAGTAAACCTCCTCAGAAGAATATAACCTCATGCAGATTATTTATAACCATAATACACAATATCTGGTATTCAATAAGAAAATTTCTAGGTATACCAAAAAACAGAACCAAGAAAAAGCACAAATAAGAGAAGCAGAACCACAGGTAAACTAGGCATTAGAGATAGAGAATTCACAAGAGAACTAGAGTCCATAGAATAAATAAATGTTGATGTTAGAATTGAAAAACACATATTAATTACAATGAAGAATTCAATATATAACTCATAGCAGGTTGGATACAAATGAAGAGTAGACAGGAAACTAGAAAATAGGTTGATTCAAAAAAAAAATTAGCCAATCGCACAATACAAAAAAAAAGAAGAAACAGAATGGAAAATAAGAGTGAAAACATTAATTAACAATATTCTCAATGACATGGGAAATCACTATAAATATTCACATATCAAAAGAATAATAAAGTAATACTATGCACAACTCTACACACATAACTTTGACAGTTTAGATGGAATGGCCTACTTTCTCAAAACATAAACTATTGCTTACCTCACCGAATATAATAGAAACTAATGAATAATTACTAAGGAAACTTAATTTACAAATTAAAAAATTTCCCCCAAATGAATATCCAGGTCTGGATGGTGTTTTCTTTCTTTCTTTCTTTCTTTCTTTCTTTCTTTCTTTCTTTCTTTCTTTCTTTCTTTCTTTCTTTCTTTCTTTTTTTATATGATGGCAAGATTTTACTTTGACTTAAAGGGTATTAGTACACCCTCAGGGATGTGGAAGGTGGGCAGGCTCTAAAGCACAGCCAGGTCCAGATGTTTTAACTAGAGAATTCTAAAAAGTATTTAAGGAAAAATAAACACTAATTATAGACAATATGTTTCAGCAAACAGAGAAGGAGGGAACATTTATCAATTTATTTTATGAAGCTAGTAATACCCTGATAGAAAAACCATACAAAAGAAGTACAAAAACTAAAATACAGACCAATATCTTTCATGAATATAGGTGTAAATCTCCTTGAAAATATTAGCAAAAATTATTAAGCAATGTAAAAAAAGAATAAAACACCATGACCAAGTGGGGTCTACTTTAGAAATGCAAGGCTGGCTCCACATTTAAAATCAATCAATGTCATCCACCGTATTAATAGGCTGAAGAATAAAAATTACATAATAATATCAATCTATGCAGAAAAAAATTGAAAAACTCAGTACTCAACTCATGATAAGAATATGGGAATATTGCTGAAGTTCCTTAACTTTATACAGAACATCTATATAATCCCTACTGCTAGCATTATACTTAATGGTGAAAAACTATATACTTTCCCCCTGAGACTGGGAACAAGGAAAGAATTTCCACTCTCATCACTCTGATTCAACATCGTGCTTGAGATTCTGTCCAGTGCAATAAAGCATGAAGAGAAAAAACAGGCATATAGACCATAAATAAAGAAATAATACTATTAATTACAGATGACATAACTGTCTATCTAGAAAAATCTCAAGGAATCAACAAAAAATTCTAGCTTTAATAAGTGAGTTCACCAAGGTTGCAGGATGCAAGATAAACATAAAAACCAATTGCTTTCTATACACTAGAATAAATACATGGGCACAAAAATTAAAAATACAATGCCATTTAAGTCTGTTCAAAAAAAAGGAAATAGTTAGCTATAAATATAATAAAATGTGCACAGGATTCATCAATGAAAAGTACACCACACTGATGAAAGAAATTTAAAAGATCTAATTCAATGGAGACATATATTATGTGCATGGCTTGGAAAACCCATGTTCAGTCTCCCAAATTGGTATAATCCAACTCTTATAAAAATTCCCACAAATTATTTTATAGGTATGGACAAGGTTATTTTAAAATCTGTATGGAAAAATCAAAGGAACTAAAAACCTTTGAAAAACAGGAATAAAGTAAGAGTAATAGTCTACCATATTTTAAGCACACTATTGGTGAATTAACAGATACATAGATTAATGAGTAGAATAGAGAACCCAAAAATAGACCCACACATGCCCCATTCATTTTGGATAAAGGTACAAATATATTAAATGGATATCATCACTCAACAAATGTTGCTGGAACACAAAAACTTAACCTTGATGCACATCTTATACATTATACTAAAATTAATGTGAAATGGATGATAAACCTAAATATAAAATTATAAAAATTTTAGAAAACTATAAACATTTTTATGAGGAAAGTCTTCATTATTTAGGGCTATGCTGAAATTCAGACTTGACACAAAATACACAATCCATAAAAGAAAAATTTAACAAATTGGACTTCATCAAAATAAAACTTTTTTCTGGAAAACCAATTAAGATGATGAAAATCCAGTTGACAGTATAAGAGGAAACATATAAAGATCCCTCATAACTCAACAGTAAAAGAAAACACCATCAATTTTAAAAGAAGCTAAAGAGCCCTGGCGGTGTGGCTCAGTTGGCTGAGTGTTGCCGTGTGCACTGAAAGGCCATCAGTTTCATTCCCCGTCAGGAAACATAGAGAGGTTTCGGGTTCAGTTCCTGGTTGGGGTATGTATAGTAGGTAGCCAATCATTGTTTCTCTCTCACATCTGTTTCCCTCTCTCTCCCTCTTCCTGCCTCTCTCTCTAAAATCAATAAAAACATATTTTTTTAAAAGGAGCAAAAAACATGAACACATATTTCAGATGAAAAACAAACACACGAAAAAGATGCGCACATTAGGGAAAAGCAAATTAAAACAATAATGAAATATCACTACATATACCAGGATGTCTAAAATAAAAATAATGACATGAATGGTGGAAAAGATGCAGGAGATGGAAGAATAGCTTGGGACCACCATTCTATTCTGTAAGGGAGTCATGTGATACATTGCATTCTGACCAGATCTCGAATAACAAAACAAAATTCATGCTTAATTTCATGGTACTTTGGCATTTTTATTTACTGGAAGGGACAAGTGTCATGTAGGCAACTCACAGCTAAAATGCCAATAATAATTAACATTTGGAGGCCAGTAGCCTTAAAGAGTGCATTTCTTGATTCTGAGCTGCCTCTGTAAAATTGGTGACTAACAGGAAAAGATGGAGAGGAAGCCACATATACAGTTAAGACCTTTCTTTACAAAACCAGATCTTCATCTAAGAACAAACGTTTTCTTGATGAGCCTTACCTTGCACTTCCTTAAGTATGTGGTTGTCAGGCTCTAGCATACTTTTAAGATGTTTTAAGAAAATCAGAGTCAAATTAGAATTCCCAGAAATTGATAAAGGCACAATGGTTTGACCATACTGACTCAAACTCATTAGTCTGGCCTGATCGTCATTACTATGTGTAAATGTAACAGTCTCTGAGAGAAGCAAAAGTGATCCTAGAAGTGCCAGTATCTGCAGCAAAATGAGTTTCCAGTGGCGCCAATTGAATATTGCCCTCTTTATGAACATGGCACAGAACTGCCGGTGGTAGAGGGAACACTGAAGAAAGGAGAAACAGAACATTACAATATTTATAGACCTAAACAGGTCAATCACACTGACATTGAAGATGAACACTGGAATTTTATGGTAGAGATACATAAAGTTTCTACATACTTGGAATAGAATTCAAACATAGTATGATAATGCACAAGAGTATGTACATCCTTTTGTCTATATAAGACAGGGGTCAACACAATTACACCCATTCATTTCTGCATTGTCTATGGTTGCTTTTTTGCCACAATGATAGGGCTGAGTAGTTGCAACAGAGACCCTATGGCCCACAAAGCCTTATATATTTATCATCTCCTTACATAAAGTTTCTAACTTTTGCTATAAGGATTAACTAAGATATTTATCTTCTGGCTTTTGATATAGCATACATAAAAATCTCAACAAGATGATTTTCCTCAGTCTTCTTATAGTCAAAAACCCAAACTGTTTTATAGGAGGAATGGATAACTAGGAGAATAAAAGAAATGCTTGGCAACTCAAACAAACTTACCACACTGAGAATCATAGTGATTAAATAGAAATTCCTTATGTAATATCAATTATCATTGCAAAAAATTTAAAATATTGTGCATGCTTGATTATTAAGAATTATGCTCACTCCAGCTCATTCTAGCTTCAATGAACTAACAAATTTCTGGATTATCGACTTGAAAAAACAAAAGAGTTCTAAAACAGAAAACAAATACAACTGAGAAGTAATTATTAAGATCTTTATCTAGAACACATTCCTCTGCATTGAGAAATTAATTAGGCCATGGTACAGGGTGCTCCATATCTGGTTGGGTCTGCAATGCTTGCGAATTCCACACTCCTTTTGTCCAAGTATTTCAAAATGTATCTCTTGTGCCCCAACCAAATATATATCAGTTTTCTGTAAAGGTCCTTACCCCAGTATTAAACATAACAGCAGGTCTTTCATTCACAGTAGACAAATCTGCTCCCTCATTTCTTGACATATTCCTATTCTGGTTCTTGACTGACACTTCACTCATCTGAGAGAGAGGCTGAGGTTCGGTAGATACAATGTCTGTTTGTGTCTCGTCCATATTACTGACCCTACATTTAAAAAGTACAAAATATTACATTTCTACTTTATCCCAATACATCTTGTTTGGAGAATGAGTCACAACACCCAACTTAGAAGACTCCCTGGTTTGCTTGCTGACTGGTAGGAGCACTATATGAAAGCAATGTGGTAGAGCAAGTGGTTCCCCAGCACCAGTCACAGGACTGCTGCAAGACCATGGGAAGCTAGAAAAACAAGGGCAACACAATGTTTCATTAAGTGGAACTCATTCAAGTTAAAGATTAAGGTCTAACTCCTACTTTGAGAAAGTTAAAATATCTATCTATCTATCCTATCTAATAAAAGAGAAACATGGTAATTAGTGTACGACCGTTACCTTCCCATTGGCTAATCAAGGCGATATGCAAATTAACTGCCAGCCAAGATGGCAGCCGGCAGCCAGGCAGCTTGAAACTAACATGAGGCTTGCTTGCTACAGTGATGGAGGACTCCAACGTTCCCCGCCTGCCGCTGCATGCCAGCCTTCCCCTCCAGGGGCATGTCCTGGGGGAAATGCTCAAGGAGAGGTAACTTTGCCTCATCTTGGCCCTGGGTGCTGACTGGCCGCTGCCTGCCCTACTCAGACCAACCTCTATGTCCCTCTCAAGCCCTGGCATGGCCAGGCCCTTTTATGACTTAAGTTTGGAGGAGCTAAATCCCTGGCAAGCATGTCTAACAGATTTACCAGAAAGTGGCCTTCACACAAAAAA